TAAAATAGAAAGTTTAAGTAGTACCTGCTATGATAATTGTTTTGACTATCTGCCTATGGGTACAGTAAAATGGAAGACTGCAAATATAAAGTCAAGCTGAATAACTTTCAAAATGTGTGCTACAATATTTACTTTTAAAAGCAATTTTACTTTTTTTGAAAACTTTTTTCCCCCCATTTTATGTTATAAGCCCATCTGTGAAAATTATTTAAATCAACAAGGATTTAAAATACAATGAATTTTTGTTAATAATAACTGAATTTTTGTAAATAATAACTATAACATCTTGGTATATATCTTCACATTTCATTAGATCTTTTGCTTAACATATATTATCCATTTTCTGTGGTACTCATTGCCTGTGGAATGTACAAATATATAAAATGCATACAATAACTCAATAAAACATCAGGTACTTCACAACATTTGCAGTATTTTATTAGATGCTGTTTCATTGACTCTCTGTTCTAATACCACATTTGCTGTGCACCGATGAAGGCTAGCCCTATCCTATAGACACGTATTTCTCCCAAAAATGGTAGAAAACTCTCAAAAGCTGCATATTTCTCCCACAAACGCTAGTTATATCTCAAAGATTAGTATTTGTCCCACAAATGCTAGCCTGCTCTCAAAAACGAGCATTTCTTCCACAAACCCTAGCCCACTTTAAAAGATGAGTATTTGTCTCACAAATGCTAGACTGTTCTGAAAATGTGTTTTCCTGCCTTGAGTGATAACCTACTCTGAAAAAATAGTATTTCTCCAATGAACACTAGCCCAGTCTCAAAGATGAGTGTTTCTCACGTGAAAACTAGCCTTTTCAGAAAGACGAGTATATCAAAACGAAAAGGTATGTAACTGTCAACCAATTGTTTTACAGAAATAAACAAAGAGAACTTGAACTGAATAAACGTCATCTAAAGCAACTAAATAATTAAATACTGTATAGGACAAAATAGACATTAAAGTAAAATAAACTTCTTCTTTTAAATTTGTATCGATGCATAGATTTTATAAAGACAGTTTAATGTATATATCCTTCTTTGCTGATTTATTTTATTAAATTGTAATAATCAGATAGAATGGCCATGATTTAAAGGGATATTTAATTATATTTTCTTTCTTCATTGCAGTACATCATAATTATGATTCACATGGCTATAGCCTTTCTTAATATCTTTGCTCTTCAAACTACATACTGTACAACTGGTAAGATTTCACCTAGAATTATAACATCTGGTGCTAATGAAAAAGTTTCTAATTTTAATCTGTTTGCATTTAGACACTACTAAATGCACTATCCTGCGCAAGATTTAGATTTGTACTTTAAAAAAAACAATTAAAAAAGATAAAATGTATCATCATGTATATTAACAGATCCAGCACTGGGCTATTGCTCAGAAATGTGAGAAAAACAAGCTAAAAACTACTAGGAGCTGTGTTTATTGAAATGCATGAGCAGAGGATGAGCTAGCTAATCCCACAGAAAGAAGAAAAGCTGCCCAATCACGCATTCTTCTTTTTTTAATAAAAGCTGCTGTGTGACCTTCAAGACTAGTTAAGTGCTTTTTTTTATCACTCCAACACGTGATACCCCTATTTAGTTACTGTAGCACTGAAAGAAGCCAAGAGAGATTGATCAAAACTATCGATGATGTCTCCCAACCAAATAGAGGTCAAACAACCCAGACGCACTTTCTTTCAAGGATCCTGTTTCTGTCAGTTATCTCTCAGTTTCTTACTTTGCTGGCTTTATTTTAAGACATTATATCATATGTATAATTTTATCACATGTTTCCGATTTGAAGCATTTCTTTATGTTAAGCTTAAGGTTTGTCTTTTAAAATTTTATGAAAATGAATTTTCAGGATGATAAAAATGTTTAAAAGGATCTTTTCACTGGATGTTCTGGAGCTCACTGGAGCTCATCTTTCAAAAGTAATTAATTGTTAACAGCAAATCTCCAATGAGAGTGATAGAGGGTAGCTCTGTTTCAGACCATAGAGCAACAAAGGCATGTAGGACTAAACCTTAGGCACTATTGTAACACAACATTAAACTTTTATTTTTACAATACGTTTCTTTTTTTGTAGAACACTAATGAGATTACATGGATGGAAGGTTATAACAAGCTATTGTAACATTTAACATTTAGTCAAGTAACAATGACCTAAGATTTTGTTGTGTACAATATACAGTAAATATGATCCTAAGATGAAATATTAAGCAGTATGTACATGATAAATTAATAACCTATATGAAAAATCCATATGTTAAAAGGTATTATACTGTCAAGTCACAAAGTCATTGGCTAACATAAGAATAGGCAGTGATAACGTTGTTGAGTTTTGAATTTGTGAATAATATGGCTCATGAGAAGGAAATTTAATATGAAATCAAGGTTTTAACTAATGAAGTGTTGTCCTATCAACAGCTAGCAACCCAAGCAGAGGTTTCACTCAGTGCCGTACGGTATGTAAGAATCAGAGGGAGGTTTGTGAAATTGGTACACAGAAAGGGTTGAAATAATGCTATTCGATTTCAAATCAATCATTTGTTGTTAAATATCTTTATTTATATGTTGTAGAAGAGTTGGAAGGTTGAACTGCAGAGCACTATAGCCAAGACCATAAAAGAGTTTCTTTATTATAGTACATTTCAGGCACGAAAATTCCTTCTACATTTTTGTAGAAAGAAAGCTGCAATGCTTAAACATATTGTTTTGTTATTAGACATTGTAAGATAGGTTTTAGCTGAAATCTGATGGGTAGTTTAAATTTATGTTGGTGTAACAAAGCTCTAGTACAGGACTTATAAGCATGCCTGTCTTCTGAGATGTTAATAATGTGCTTGTTGTTTAGGGATTCTATTCCCAAAGCCACTTACTCAATATATACAAGCTAGTGTAACCTTTCATTTATTTATTGTTACTGCTATCTTTGTAAGCAAAGTGTAATTTCTCTCTGGCTGATATTAGTGTTTCAGTTCTGCACTTAAATTAAATGGAAACTTGGAAAAAAGAATGTAATTGTGAAACATTAAGAAGCTAATTAGTCTTTTGAGAACCTCTTGCTGTCTAATGTAGGCTGGATATGTTACACGTACTGTATTTCAGATTATGCTTGTTTCTACAAATAAAATTACACTGTCACAAAGCTATTGAACTCTCCTTTTATCATATGTTTTGCAATATGATGTGCATCATGGAAGATCTGATATTCTGCGTTTCATTAGATGGACATTTAATTACAAAATATACTATTCTCTGCTGAGACTGAGTTAGATCAACTCATTAATGTTTGTTATGTGATGCTTTTGTTTCAGAAAATATCACTTAATTGAATTAAAAATTATATTGGTTAATCCACTACAAAACTGCATCTTGCTGCTGTACAATGTGCAGAACAGTACGGTTTGGAATACTTGGAATTATACTCTCCAGTGGAATACAAATTCTATAATTGAATAAAATGTTATACCTGGGAATAAAACTTCATAAAACTTCCATGAATAAGATTCAACATTTCTATAAATCAACTGGCAATATTGAAAACAAACTAGTATAATTTATAAGATCGGGCAAATGGAACTTATGTGAGAAATTTTAATTTCTCTACAAAATCTACATGGGTAGAAAACTGCTGTAATAACCATAACTTGTAGTACTGTAAGAACAGTAAATACGTTTTTATCTCAGATCATCAGTTGATATAAAATTGCCCTACAGATACATCTGAGGTTACATAGTGTATGCTATTCCTGTAATAATTGCACAATTCAAATATTGAAATTACAGTTTGTAGAAGTAGAGAATATGTCTTTATGAAAGTATTTAAACACTTTTGCAATTTGTAATAACATATGCAAGCTATATTGCATATCAAGAAGACTTTTATAGTTTTATTGGTGTTTAACAGACCTTGTTTTTTAGCTGTTTTTCATTTATAAAAAACATTAGAATGCATTTATTGATCATGGTATCTATCCACATTTATGTTGTAAATGTTGAAAACCTAACAGTGACTTAGTACAGTAGGTGCTGCCTCTAGGGCCCGGGACAGATGTCACAACAAATTTAACTAACACACCTCTGTCTGGGGAATCCTCTTCAGAGATGTCCATTCATCCATAAATCATGTTCTTCGGTATGTCTTACAGTGACCACTTACGAACCTTCATAATGTTATTTCTTCCAAGATAAAAGCCAAGATTCCCAAAAAAGTACACACAGGATTTATAGAAGGCAAAATGCAAACACACAAAAAAGTAACTCTTATTTGTGAATTTTGCCATAACTTTTGAAACTCACATATTTAATGATTCGCAGTGGTATCTAAAAAAAGACACAAAAGCAGTTAATGTATGTCACATTTTATTATTTACAAATTAATGTAAGTAGACTATGAAGGTTCGCATTCAATATTTAAGAACATTCTGTTCAGGTCTGTTCAAGTATTGCTCATCTAATTGCGTTTCTTAAATATTGTAAATTCTGTTTGTGTTACTTGAAAACAAATGATGCCCTACACTGAAATATCACGTTTTCTCATCTACAGTACTTCTGTCAAATGGTGTGCTAACAAAACAAAATTATAAAGAGATTCTGATTGGCCCTGTGAAGGCAATGCTTAACTATGAAATGTTTTCCTAATATTTGTTAAGTATCCAAAATTGAAATGTAAAAATATTTTAAAAGTTAGAATTAATATCTACAGTATACTGTATACAGTAGATGGCATGGTGACACAGTGGTTAGCATTGCTGCCTCACAGCACTGGGGCCCTGGGTTTAATTCCTCAGGTGCTGTCAGTGTGGAATATGTGCTCATTGTGTTTGCGTGGCTAATGAACTTCTGGGAAAATTGGCCATGGTGTGAGTGTGTGTTGGATGAAAGTGTCAGGAATATACTGGAAACTAGTAAAAACTAAAATATGTTCCCAAGGTTTCTAGTGTATTATGCAGTATATTAGATTCTGAGAGGTCATGGGTTTCTCTTGCAGGTGGTGTTTGTATTGCACAGTCCCTTAAAATCCCTCGAGAGCCAAAACCTGGAGAATTTGACAAGATCATCCTGCGCTTGTTGGAAACCTCAAATGCTCGTGCTGTGATTATGTTTGCAAATGAAGATGACATCAGGTATGTTATTTAAACAACACATACAGTATGACAACATAAATTAACAAAATAAAAATTAGGCAATTAAAAGCTGGATGTAAACAAAAAAGGCTGTGCAGGGCAAAATGAAACAATAAAAAATAAAACAGTATATACACATAGCGGATGTAATGAATGCACCTAGAAGATAACGATGAATGCAGAAAAATGCAGAACATCACATGCAGGTATCAGGACACATTATAATAATTGATAGATCATAGGATGCTGCCGATATGTACAATAGCAAATAACAATGATAACAGCTAAAGTATGTATGTACATATGTAAATATTGTATATACGGATCATCAAAAGAATTGTAGAACTTATAATTGCAACAGGGTCATGTTACGAGTTCGGTAATAGGGACCGGACTAGTGAGTGAACCCACTTGCAGGAGCGAACAAAGCCAAGTCGTAAACCGAAAGCAAACCGTAATCGTAGGAACGAGCCGAGAGTCCAGGGGGAGCAAGATATCCGAAAGGGAACGTGTACCGAAGCCGAAGTGTGATCCGAAGTCGTAGTCCGTAGAGCAATCCGAGAATCCAGAGGTAGCCAGTAATCCAAGACAGAGCGAAAGTACCAATCCAAGCCGAGATCCGAAAAGCCGAAGTCCAAAGGGAAAAACCGTAAGCCGAAATCCAAGACAAACACAGATTAGAAGAAGCGCAACCAGGAAGCTCGATAGGGAAAACCAATACTGAGCAACGAGGTAGGGATGGACAGGTGTTTAAGTAGGATGAGACGGGGGTGTGGTTGTCACAATAGGATGAGAAAGTGTGGTCCCAAAGCTCACTCAGTGTAGTGCAATGCAGGCATTTTCCTATCAATTACAACTACTAATGGAGTTCAGTAGTAACTACAAACACTGATGTTGGTGTGTCTTTCTTCCTTCCTGAATTTAAATTGATGGAGCTTAGGCATATGCATTATGAGTCTGCTGATGAAGAATTCTGGTCTAGTAAATGTTCGGTCTAAGTCTAAAGTCTAAGCCATATGTCTCAGTTAATATGTTGAGAGTTGTCTTAGGATCCATTTCTGTCAAGACACATCAACAGTGTACAGGATCTTGATGACTGAAGTTAGGGCCATTTTAGTTTTAGACTGGAGAATAATTTATTGTCCATTTTGGAAATGAACTACAGTTCAAAAGGGTGCTTGTCTGTTGTCAAATGGAATATGGTGCTCGGAAATATTGAAAACAGAGTTATAGCAGTGATACTTTGTTGTTTGACTGCTGTTTGTACTACAGAGGGCTTTGTAATGGAACCATTAGTGAGATTATGCACACATATCATCATAAAGGAGATTGTGCATGATGGTTTTTATGACCTCTTAGTGTTCCACGTGGTAGAGGTCTGAAGGTACTGTATAAATGTAAAGAATTGGTTATACTGTTCTTTACATTGGATTTTTTATTTGATAGATCTTTAAAATGCCCCTTTCAACAGACATTGACTGCCTGCCTTCCTTTGATCAAGTCAACCTTCTTTAGGTCTTAAAGCGACTGGTCTTTGGTTACTCAGCCCATGAAGACTTCTTGTGGCAGTCTGTAAGATTTTGAAAATCAAAATTCTGCTATAAACATTTAATCAGTCTAAAGACTGATTTATGTTAATAAACCTTACATAAAGAGTGATTTTTTTATTTAGTGGTCAGTATAAAATGCAAGAAAATCAAGATATTTTGAATAATGTACAGTATACTGTATGTGAGGACAGTTAGCTTTATAATTCAAATAAAAAGTAATGTTAATAATGTGGAAAATATCAATTTACAAGAATATGCCATAACAAACACATATTTTATCATGTATATTTGTTACGTTAACTTTAAGTTGAAATATGTGACTGTATCTTCCAAAAACACTGATGTTAAAACACTTTAATTGATATTTCTCCTCACAAACAGAGCTCATTATATGGTCTATTAAATGTTCCTGTGATTGTGAAAGAATGTGGATCCCTGCAGTGCAGCATGTAATAATCAGCTTGAAGATGCTGCTGAAGAAGACTAATGAATATTTTATTTTTATTTTTGTTTGCAGAAGGGTGCTGAATGCAGCCAAAAGGAACAATCAGACTGGCCATTTCCTCTGGGTTGGTTCTGATAGCTGGGGCTCCAAAATTGCTCCAGTTGTACAACAAGAAAAGGTGGCTGAAGGGGCTGTCACAATCTTACCCAAAAGAGCTTCTGTTGATGGTAGGGAGCAGTGAGAAATGTACCAAGTCTTTAGAGTGATCTTTGGGGCTCGCTTTATTGCATCCTGATTGGTATTCAAACAGGCAAACCAGGTTCAGCAGAAAATGCTTACATTTTTTTCCCTAGGAGGTTAAAAGATCAGCGTTGAAGGGAATTGGTAACAAACCACATTCATTTATTTACACTGCATTCCCTCAAGCTCTAAAAGCAAAAGTGGAAACTCGTTATGCATTCGCATATATGACTCAGAGTGCTGCCATGCTTGTTATAGTTGATGTATTTTGTTCAGTCGTATGCCAAGTGGATGAATAGGGATTACAAGATAATGTTTTTAAAAGCTTTTTTCTATTGAACAGTTTAGATAATTGCATACTTGAACAGCTATTTTTCTGCAATAGGAAACTGTTGAGATAAATGAAAAGAAGATGAATATTTTCAATTAAAAAATCCTGACACTGACCATAGCAATATTTGTAATTGAGCTTAATTTGACAAACTGAATTTTCTTCAGTGTTTCAACCTTTCTTCCTTTTTGTCCATTGCAGGATTTGATAGATATTTTAGGAGCCGATCCCTGGCTAACAACAGAAGAAATGTGTGGTTTGCAGAATTCTGGGAAGAAAATTTTGAGTGCAAATTAGGATCACATGCAAAGAAACTTGGGAGTTTGAAGAAATGCACAGGTACAGTACATTGAAATTTTATGAGAGACAGTAATGTGCTCACGAACAGTTATCAATGTGAAAATATTAATAAGAGAAAGGGATAGAAATAATAACACTTACAGATTGTAAACTCAAAGAAATTCTGAAGAGCTAGATGGGAAAAGTTTCAATAACTTATTTAATTATGTTAATCTGGAGATTTTTTGGTGAAGATAAAAAAAATAATGTAACTGAAAAAGCATTATTAAAAGCCAGAAAAGTGTTGTGAAATAGTTTGTAGAAAGAAATGGGTCACGTCACTGACTGAATCATAGGTCTCTTGGACAGGCAAAGCTTGAAATTGTTGACAAAAGGAAAAGGAAGCACAATTTCACTGGGAAAGTGAGCCAGTTGATGAATTCTGTATATCTGTAAAGCTAGCTGCACTGTAGTATGATGACAGAATGGTTTCTGTACCAGAACGATAAGGTCCAAATAGTTATGACATAGGTGTTTCTAAAAATTACTTTTCTCTGTCAACTTGACCACCACATGAAAGTAAGACCTACAGAGTTACAATTTGTATGGAATATACAATTTATACTGCTTTATTATGTGAATTTTATCTGAAGGTTGTTGTCTGTTTTAAAGAGGTACTGTATGAATTATATTTCAAGGTACATTAAAATTGTTAATGTGCTTAACAATAACTGAATTTTCTCCAGTTTTGTAAGTTTTCATATTATTTTTAAAGGATTTGAGAATCTTGGACTCAGGAGTATCAAATTCTGAAGTTTTACTTGTACAAGTCAGATGGACTTTAATATGACAAAGGCACAACCCATAATGGTTTCAAGTGAAGGGTTTGGTTATAAATACAGTATGCAATACTGTATATGAATTGCTGCTGCAGACAAACATATTACAATTTTATATTAATGAAAAATCTATGGAAACATGTAATATAATACCATTTGATTTTTTGTGCACATTCTTTTTTCGTTGATCATTTGTGAACAGGCTGTGCAAAGAATCTCTTTTGCTCCAGAACAGAATTTGCCTCCATTTTCCTGGATATACCCAGCAATTATAAAGAGCTGATTTTACAAAAGACAGCACCAATTAAAAAAATATTGATAATATTAATTTTCTTTTACAGTCATGGTACATTTTGGAATTTTTCAGGAGCAAAACATCTTTAAAATCATCTTGCAACTTCTGAAACACTTAGCAAATTTCATATTAAAACTAATCTAAACTAAACTAAACTAATGATATCTAACAAGTTTTGTCTGGATGCTTGGGATAAGTATCAACAAGAGTACCACATCGAAGTCAGATGGCCTTCCTGGTTTATGCAAGAAACCTATGTAATAATTGCATTGTTACACAAACTCCCTAGGTTACATACTGTACGGGTTTGGTTCCTCTTAAGGTAAACCAGATCTTACATCATTTTGACATGACCCTTTCTTATCTGTTGAGTGAATACATAACATTTCTGAATACTTAGTAGATCATTTCAATTCAAGATATTGCAATGATCCTCCCTTATTTGCTCTAGCTTTGTCTGCCACTGAGGAAGGACAGGGTAGCAGAACTGCAGGGTCACCAGTCGCCTTTGTATGATAATGGTTAACTAATGTACATGCTAATCATGGAATGGGATTGACAGCAAGAGGGAGAATGTAGAAGCAGCTAGCAGTCCTTGAGTTAAAGAAAGGAAACTTCCCCTGTTCTATAGTTGTAGACAAATTAAAGTTTTAAAACCCTATGATTAGAATAAGCATCAAATATAACATACACTTAAAAAATTCACAATACATTTGCAATGCCGCTGAAGTAATGGCCGCCACTGCGGGCACATGCAGGCATATTCATGGCTCTGGACATGCCCCTCAGAAGCCTGTTGGAGAACTTTTTCACACTTCTTTCTCTACTTGTACGCACTCTCCTCCAAAGGGTGGTTCTGATCATGGCTCCCTCGTTGGTGCACCAGGACATGTGACACACTTACTTCAAGAGCTCTGCTTCTGGACTCTCTAACCCACAAAACTATCATCTAGATGTCTCTTTCCTCTTCGCTGGTTGATTCCCGGGCCCTCAAAACCAATGGCCCTCATGGGGGACCTCCTACTCCCTCACTCACCTGGAACCTCCAGCTTCCAGATGTTACACTCATAGGACCTCCTGCTTTCTTGCAGTTAATTTGGAGCCTCCTGCTCCTCCACTCTGTGACGGCTGTGGACTTCCACTCAGCCCAGTCAGGCCCCAGACTACCCAAGTCCATCTTCAGCCACTAGTGTCACCTCCTGACATCACCAGGCTGGGTCTCACGCTCACACAGTCTTCAGTGCCTCACTCTCACACTGAGACATCCTACTGTACACTAATAAGATCGAGTCGCTTTAGCCTCTTGCTGCATGCTGAGACTTAATGCACTTTCCCAGTTAAAAGCTGTCAAACAACCTCTTTGATGCCTCTCTCTTGCATCTTAGGCCATGCACACTTTTGCAGCTACCAGTGCACTTTCTCCTTTGTCCTGCTTTACTAACTCACACAGATTAAGAGTGCGCTCACCACAAAAGGTACTTACCATGTTCAGAGTTAAGTGGCCAAAAACTTAATTAACAATAGGAGTAAAAGGTGAAAGCCACTTATCAACAATAATGAAAATTAAATGGTATTCAGGCAGCCAAATTGGTTTATAAAGAGTCCTATTTTTATATATATAAATCCTATTTGTATTAGAATTACATCTACAGTATAAAATTTGGAATTCACTTGCCAAATAGGCTAAGAGCATATCTGATTGTATAAGGGTCTGTTGCGAATGTAAAAATGATCCTGGCAACTTTTGATTATTGATAAAATCTGCCAACTTTTGATTATAACTATTATTATAATTATACTATTTTTACAAGACCCTAATTTATGTCACAAAAATACACCTTGAAGAAAAAAATGTTTACAATCACTACAGTCTTTCATTTGTTGCTTGAGCTCTTTCACTTTCAATCAAATACCTTCAATCAAAGAAAATCTGCAATGGACAGTGAAGGATGGAGGCTGCACAAATTTACCATGCAAATTATTGAGGCTGAAAAATGTTTTACATTGGTGATGTTTTGATAGTTCAAAGTAAATCTGTAATATTACTTGTTGAAACTAATTAAATACATTCACTAGCTTTTTTACACCCCTGTAGTTTTGAAGGTGTTGAAGCATTAGTACATTATTGTATCAAAATATATTGAGATTGTTTACGTTTAACATCTTACATTTTGCGGGGCAAAGGAATCCTTTAAATGATTGTGCTACTACATATATTGTTCTGACTATTTGCCACAATCTGAAATTGAAGATATAAATATCTAAATAAATATCTCAAGATATTTAATTAGAGTTATGTGGATAATTATGGACATACAGATCCAGCCATTCAAAGTGCGCGGTACAGACACATACCGGAGGTAATTGGCTACGGCGTCGCGCATTGTAACGTATGATGACGGGCGGTACTGCGGTACGTGATTGGTTGACCGACAGGGGCACTCGTGTTCAGCTGGTCTGTCGTAGAAAGATTTACAGTAAACGTCTTTACTGTGCCCGTTGTAGTATTGAATATTTATATGGAAGTTTACCACTGAAGGGAAATCTTAGTAGCTGAGCATAAAAAGAATAGGAGCATACTGTAACACGTGTTAAGGCCATAAATGATATTAATTTTGAACATAAACATACAGTATATGGCTGGTCTTGGTACTTTAAAGAAAAAATACACACCAGTATTCCATTTCTCCCTAAACATTTTAAGCATCGAAGTCTTTAACTTATGAGATACCGGAGTCAACAAGCATACTTTTAGAATTTGATTAAAAGGGAATATAATATGGAATCGCGTATCTAAAGAAATTAATAACTATATAATTATATTCATGTACCGCAACACAAGAATAGTACACGCTGTACATTGTCTGTTGATAATGTTTCTGTAGTGCTTTTTCAGCTTTCCACATGTGACCTTGCTGGTGGCGCTGTGGGTTAGGTTCCTGACTCCCATGTCGCATGGTCTGTGATCGAATCCCACTGGAACCATGACTTTTTTTTTAACAAACATTTCTTTGAAAAAATGAAAGTTTCCCTTGGTCAGAGATTAAATATAACCTCACTCGCACCAAACAAATTTATATTTCTAAATATCACAACATGATCGAATTTAAGTCATTTTAATAACAATGAATAGTCACCTATGCGTTACAAAATAAACATTTATATTGATTTGAATTGCGTTTTGATTTAAATCGTAAACGCATGTTTAAATATATGTGTTTTTTGATTCACGATCAGATAAATGCAACATAAATTGATATCTTTGTCTTCTAAGTATCTTAATAAACTTTCAGCATTGCTTTCTCCCCGTTTAGATTTATTTTTCTTGGGATCTTGGGATCAAACGTGGAAAGATTAGATTGTAATCGTTTTTATTTTTTAAATACATTTTAGAAAAGTGTCATCTATACTAAAAAGTTGTACACCACCTGCTATAAAGATACATATTGTAAAACTTTCGGGTTCGGATAGGACAGACACGAGAACTCACACTTGCGGAGTTAAAGCAAGTTAAAGCCTTGATTTTATATATCACCTTTAAAGTGGCATCTCAAAGCAAAGTAAATACCCAACACCGATTGTACCCATCTGTCATGCTAATAAAGCACCTTGAATTGAATTGAATTGAGGGAGAGAGGGGGGGAGGGCGAGCGAGAGAGCCAGGACAGACAGGCAAATAAGATACACTCCACAGACATTCACAACAGCGACATATCATAAAACGTTTGCACATATAGTTAAGTTATTACTTGGTTTTCAAAGTGCAATGAAATACAATATTGTTGTTGTTGCTGTTATTGTTGTTTTTATCCTGTAAAGCGTTTTGACTTTTTCTAAATTGCAACCCATAAATAAAGCTGATACAGTTTAGACTTATTTTAAACTGTATTGAAGCAGCACAATGGACAATGCAACGTAAATTGCAA